CAATGGTGGCTCCGAGCATGGCGGGGAACACAAAGGCCCAATAATTGGCATGGTCGGGGATGAGAGCAAAGAGAAGAACGCTGGCAAGACAACCGCCTCCGGATATCATCAGTAGCACTCTACCGGGAAGCTTATGAAGGGTGAAGCCGCCGATGGTGGCTAGGGCGATACCGCCGCCAGCCATGGGAGCGAACCAGGTCGCCGTTTGGAGGGTGGAGGCACCCATGAATGCCTCGATGCTGAGGAGCAGGTCAGCTCGAGTGCCTTTCAGTCCATAGGAAGTGGGGAACTTACTGTAAACTGGCATAAAACAAGAAAATGCCGAACACTCCGTAGGCAAAGAAGAGAGCAAGCGTGAACCTCTTCATATACTTTGCGGCAAATAGATCCTTTGGCAGCAGAGGCTGCTCAGCGACCCAACCCTCGAGATATATAGCGGCGCAGAGGAAAAGCATTCCGATAACGAACGTTACGGGAATGTAAGGGGTGCGCCAACCATTTGGAGCCGAGCCACCGGTGGTAATGGCAAAGGTGATGAGAATGATGGCCGGAACGATGGTGAATAAACCGAAGTAGTCCATCTTGGCTCGTCCGTGGTTAGCAACAGCCTGGTGTCTATCATTGGGGATGGTGAGATAAGCCATCAGACTTGTCACAAACAGGATGATGGTTCCAATAAAGAACCACCAACGCCACGAAAGATACTCGCCAGTGACCCCACCCAGGATAATTCCGATGAAAAAACCGAGCGGAGCGAATGCACTATAGAGACTGAAAACGAGATTCTTCCTCGGGCCAGGACGATAGGTCTTGCCCAGCAGCATCAAACCAGTAGGCAGGAAAGCAGCGGGACCTAGACCGGCAAGAGCTCTGGTGACGATGAGCATCTGATAGTTCTGACTAAAGCCACCAATCAAGCACCAGATGCACATCCAAACCAGGCCGCCGGTGAAGATGAAGTAGGCTCCATACATGTCGGCAAGGCGGCCGAATGGCAGGAGAAAAGAGCCGGTAACAAGGGAGAAGACGCTGGACGGCCATGTTTGGGAATTTTTGGGAATATCTAGCGCCCCGGCGAGACCAGGCAAAATGATATTGAAGCCAGAAACAAAGTATTCCTAGCCAAGGTGCCATGTGTCAGTTGAGTGCGTGACGAGCCAAGGTATCGAACAAACTCACACTCATGAGCATAGAAATGAGGATGGAGCCGCAGAACATGACCTCTTCCAAGGTGCTCGAAAAGACAGCGGGTCGTTGACGACCAACGCGGTCGAGATCGAACTCAGTGGTGGCGTCAACTTGGACATCCTGCTGTGCCTGAGAAGGGCTCTCACACTCGGACGATTCTGGATGTTGTTGGGGTTGCTGATGGTGTGGTTGTTGCTGTTGTTGTTCTAGTGTTTGCTGGCCCATCTTGCAGCAGAGTACACAGCTTCAGGGCGTGACACTGTCGAGAATGTTATAGATGGATAGTGATGGGAACATGACACAGAATGGGCATTGAACTTCTCCTTCTATATAATAGAAGTCTGCTAACGTACACACATGAAGGTGCAGGGAGACAAAGTAACTCCTTGAGGTGGCGATGGGGAGGGGAGCTTGTCTCCCGCTAACAAATCGCAGACGAGGAGCGTCCCCACTTGGCTGCAAAATGTGGGATCATGGGCCAAGGTGCCCCGGCCCAAGTGTTAGCCGGATACTTCCAAAGTCCGGGCGGAATTTGTCGTAGTCATAATTGTTCTGGCCGGAAAAAAAAAAAAAAAAATAGTCAACATGACAAAGGCTCCATCATCACCAGTCGGGCGAACTAAAACTGCAGCAAGTACGGCTTGGCTTCCTTTTTGGTCTTCCCCATGGTGACTGGCAAAGGCGTAGAGAATAGTGCTACGTATCTCAGGATTCCGATCCCTGGGGAGAAAAAGGGAAAACAAGCGGAAAAGGGTGGTTTCCATGTGTCATGAATGTCAGTCCATGACGACGAGAGTGGCGGAAGGTTGAAGAAAAGTCGGCGAAGGTTGTTGCAAGGCGGTGGCTTGATAAGATGCGCCAAACATGAAGAGACTCGCCAAAGTGGTTGGCGTCAAAATGTGAAGAAATCGGTGAAGTGACTGACACAAGCTCAAGAATCTCTGGTCTCCCAAGCGGATTTAAAAGCGCTAATGCACCTGCTGCTATTTCCCTTCCGGATCAGGCTTAGCTCTGGCTAAATCCAAAAAGGGCGGCCACGAGCAGGCCGTCGTCAGGAGCCCGCGGTCCCGTGGCCCCCCCGTCATGGCCCGGGCAGCAGCTGCCTCTACCGAACTCCAGGTCGGACACTGGCGGGGAAAACACTGGGGCCAGTCGGGAAGCCCATCGCCCCACAATCGATTCGTTATCTTATCTACCTACCTAGGTAGCTTTGTACGCCGGATATCCCTTTAACCGACCCATACTGAACGCTGCCATGGGCTAGCTAGTACTTCAAAATGTATACGTAGAATGTATACACAGATAGATTATTAGTGTCCAACTTGTTTTACTAATACATCTTTTCAGCGTGAGTCTCCAATCAAACACCAAACTGTCGTTGAGACGCTTGGACAAGTTGGCCCGAGGTTACGGACTAACAAACAAGCCGGTATCTGACTGTACACTACAAGTTCACAATTATATGACTTTGGAGAATTACACTAGCACTTCTCACCGAGGGCCTGGACGGAACCTCGCACAGCCAAGGTAGCGTCCTGTCTCCGATATGACAACCACCAAGACGCTACCACTACTACACTATCACCACCCATGGCCATCTACCCATCGCCATACCAGCCACGAATGATAAGGCTATCGTCCTGGCTCTCATCTTGAACTGGGTGACACCTCATGCGCCGAGAAGCCAAGCAGTGCCTGTTCGTGCAGTCCCATCTTTGTCTCTACAGCTCTTACAAGACACTCTTAGCGCAAGACAAGCAAACACCCTTCCCAAGACCGCCGTCATGGTGACAGGAACAGCCGCCATGGCTCTGAAGAAAATGCCGCCAAAGAAGCCTCACCACCAAAAGGCTTCGAAAACGAAGGCATGCTACAACTGCCATCGGAAACGTCTTCGCTGTGACAAGTCGCTGCCTGCCTGTCTCAAATGCTCCATCAACGGCGAGGAATGTCTTGGCTACGGCATCGTCCTGCGTTGGGCCGCCTGTAATTCACCAACCTCCACCATAACCACCAGGGCCACTAACAAGACCAACTTCAACGGCACCAACACCACCACACCACGAACCGTCAAATCACCTGCGCCAACACAAGCTCCAACACCAAGCGACAGCCCTCGACAACTTGATACCGATGTCACTAGTAGCTCAGCACCCAATCACACTAGTAGTAGTAGTAGTAGTAGTAGTACTACCACGTCTACCACAACCACCCGCATCTCATCTCCAACCCCAGAGGAAACCATCAACAGCTTCACAGTGGAGACACCAATCGATAACAATGTCGACCCTCGACCGCGAGCACCAGATGATAACCCAGATCCAAGCTCACAAATTATCAAGCGCCCCGTCAACCTCATCAAGATTCCATTAACAGATCCTCTCCTCAACGGTCTCTCAACCAAGGCAAGATGGTACATGCATCATTGTAAGTTTGTCTCACTCGTCAACATGGATTTGACCCTCACACGTCTCAGTTGCCACGATTGTCTGTCGAGACCTGGTCTCCATTGACCAGAAGGAACGGAATCCATTCCGGGCCATCATCCCTTTGGTTCGCAAGTTTGACTACCTCCAGTCGGTCGTCTTAGCAACGGCAGCCATGCATTTATCTACGATTCACAAGTACCAAGGTCGAAGTCTACCGTCGGAGTCCGCCCTAGTGGACGCACTGATGCTCAAGTCCCGGGCACTTCACCTTCTTCGCGCCGCCATCAATGACAACACCCTCACGGACAAGGCCATGATTCTTTCCGCCATCGTCTTCCTTGTCAATCTTGATCTCATCGACTCCGGCCGAGGAGGCTGGAAGGCCCATGTTGAAGCCGCCCGGCGTCTGATATCATCCCTATACCTGACCAAGACACACCTTGACGGGGCCATCGCCCCCCTAGTCAACGCCATCGCCGCCGACTGCCTTACCTATCGCATATACGGCTCAACCATCAGCGGCAACACTTCGTCGTGGTCGGACAATACCATCGATGACGGGGTCGTGTTGCCGTACATTTTGCAGAACGCCGAGGCCTACAGCTACCATTGCGCACCACCGGCTATCCTCCAAATTATTCTCTCTGCAAGCCAACTCTGTAGCGGCAGCTCCACAACGCTGGAAACAGATGGAGGGGCGGGGAGGATTGTCACCGCGGCGGCGTTGCTTCACAAGGCGCGCAACTTTGACGTGCAGACATGGGTGTACAATATCAAGGGACTGCCACCGGATGACGACCTGGAAGCGCGGGTAAGCGTGGCGTCAGCACACCGCGCGGCAGCCTGTCTGTTCGTCTTGTTGTCGGTTCCCGAGGCTGGATTGCTCGAGATACCTCTGCTAGAGCCCAAGGATCTGGTGCAGGAAATTCTTGGACATTTGTCCTGCATCCCAGATAATCACGTCCACTTGAAAGGAACGGTATGGCCGACTTTTGTTGTTGGCGCAGAGACGGACGATATGAATGAGAGGGCTTGGTGCCTGGAGCGGTTGGTGGCGGTTTGGACAAAGAATCCTTGGACGTATCCGTGGGGATACGTGCACACGGCGATGGAGATGTTGCAGGAAATTTGGAGGTTGAAGGATTTGGCAGCGCAACAGGGCGATGATGGAATCAACTGGTTGCAGAGGTTAAAAGCGACTGGGAATAGTTGCTTGATTGTATAGCTGGGTATAAATGCACGTACATTGGTAGGGATCACCTGACAAGGAAAGTTTCCTTCAAAAGGACCCCCCTCCCCCCTCTCTCCCCCTTCCCCTTCTCCTCCTTCTCCCCTCCCCCCCCCCCCCCCCCCCCCAAAAAAAAAAAAAAAAAAAAAAAAAAAAAAAAAAAAAAAAAAGAAAAAGAAAAGAAAAAGGGGCCGTGTGAACGTCGGAAAAGAGGAAAAAAAAAAAAAAAAAAAAAGGAGAGAAATAAAGCTGACATAGTCAACAGCTTGACCATACCAAAACATTACCTTGATTATCTCCTCCATCGCCTGTAGTCCCTTCGCTCACTCCCCCTAGAATATCCGTACCGATCCAAATCATCCTCAAACTCGACCGACCTCCTTGGCTTGCTCTCCCGATCCCTAGAGCACCTTCTACCATCCCTATCCCTCCGCACCCTTTCCCGTTCCCGGTCCCTACTTCTACCGTCTTTTTCGCCCCGCCCGTCCTCATCACCTTGCTCCGTCCCGACTTCACCCTCCTTTCCCTTTCCTTTCTGACCCTTACCGCCTCTCTCCTTCCCCTCCCCATCATCTACCTCTGCAACCCCTCCATCCACACCGCGGTCTTCATCGATTTCAGGATGCAGATTCCTCACATTGTTGACCGCCATCTCCAGATTGTCTATCGACACCCTGATGCCCTCTGCCCTCTTCGCCAACGCTTCATGTACATTGTACTTCTTATTCTGCGATGGAGGCTTATTGACAAGATCCGCCAGTGCTTCTGAAGTCGCTCGCAGTTCCTTCTTGAGTGACTCAAGCGTTGTTGCTAGGCTTATTGCTGCTGGCTCCGGATCATCGGTGGGAAGTGATCTGGGTCTGGTGCTGGCTCCAGTGTGGTTGCTGGTAGCAGCCAGATAGTCGGCGTAGCTGGTGTATGGGTATTCACCCGACGGCCGCCGTGGTGGCCCTTGTGTTGCCGCAGTGGTGGCGTACAAGGGTGGTTTGATCTTGTTCTTCTCCTTTTCCTTTTTCTTGCGCTGATGGAGAAAGTGGCGGATGCCAAAGCCGAGGATGCCAACGGCTAGTTGACCCATTACGTCGTGGAGGTCGTTGCCATCGCGGCTGCCGTCTCGGTCTCGGTCAATGCGGTGGCTAGCTCCGCTGCTGTCTCGTGCTTTGGTTGTTGTGCCGCGGTCGCGCTCTTGGGATTGGCTGTCTTCATGAGCGGATCTTGACCCTAGATTTTGTCGTGATGTGCTGCCTTTATCGGCCAAGTCTTGCCTGGTCAGACGCTTGAGAGAGTAGACCAAAGCAGCGCGGGCAAGTTGTTGGATGATTTCCCGAGTTTCATTATTGCTACTGCCCCTTGTTGATGATCGATTAAGGAGCGACGGTTTACCCCTGGACCTGTGCGAGCGAGTTCCAGGCATGTTGACGATGATGTTGGTTTGAATGAGAATGACTGAGTGGTGTTGTTTATTGAGTATAGACTGGGAAGATTCGAAAAGGAGCGAAAACTCGCAAGAAGAGCAAATAAGGTCGCAAACTAGTCTGCATATACATCTTGTAAGAAACAGATTGGTCTCCGACAAAGAGGCCTCGTGTCAGGAGTGGTGGGATGAATGGGGATGGCGAGTAGCTGCCTGCTCACGGACTTGCGGTGCCACATGCGTTGTTGATGGAGGTATCACCTGATAGTTGACTGTGATGACAACAGTTGATACTGGAACGCAAGAAGCATACTGAGACTAGAAAACACAACTATGTGCAGGCTAACAAATTGAAATATTGATTTCAAGTCATCTTTCCGAGTCACTGTCGAGAATCATTACTGGTCTCCTTCCCTGCCGTTCATAGATCGGTTAGCCGTGAATTCAATTCATAAGGACGTGATCAGAACTCACAGTATAGAAAGTGTGACGTCTCCCTTTATCTTTGCCCTCAGTTGCAAGTCGATATCCAAGTCCATATCGAGCCTAACGGCAAGAGCGCCACTGCGACTGCCTCTTGTTGTCCCTTGAACCGATTGCTGCTGTTGTTGAAGTCTTTGTGGCTGATATTGCTGGATAACATGGGAGTCGCCTCTGTCTGGCGAGCTCCCAAGATAGCTCTCTGGGGTTGTGTCGCGAGACTTTTGCTTGCCATGTCTCTCGCCGTTACGTGAGGTCGACATAATGCTGTTGAATAGTGGTGTGGCAGATAGGGGTCACGATGGAGTGTTATGCTGATATAGGGAAACGCCAAGAAAAAGAAAGGTCTTGTAGGATGACCAACTGACACGGTCAATGAGTCAAGGGCGGAGGTGACTGATAAGTGTGTACTATCCAGTGGTATAGTGTATATAATAGTAAGTATCTGGCAGAAATTGGGGCTCAAGGGTCACGGTGTGATCATCCATGGTAGAGGTACTTATCAGACCGTCGCCCGAAGATCCCATGACATCATAACCTGAACAACTGACAGTTTTCTATTCGGTTCACTCAGCAACAGCTGATCTCCAACCCCCGCCGAAAATAGCCAGACGCAAATGTCCATGCTGTAGTGTAGTATGTACACTTGATCCACAACTGGATGCTCTGTATGCCTTTGATCTCTTTCGTCTTGTTTTCTTTCCTTTCCGAACCTCACGACGAGCCAGCGGCAGCAGCCTTCTCCTTTGCCAGACGGCCCATCTTCTCGGCAGCGGCCCGCAGACTGTTGACATCGGCGCCCTGGATCATGACGGAACCGTTGACGGCGACCTGCTTGCCGTTCTTGAAGAAGAGGAAGGTGGGCATGGCGGAGACACGGTAGTGCTGAGCAACCTGCTGGACGCTATCGACGTTGATCTTGGCAAAGGCGAGGAAGTTGGGGATGGAGAAGGTCTTCGCAAACTGGGCATACATGGGCGCAATGGCCTTGCAAGGCCCGCACCAGTCGGCGTAGAAGTCAGCGACGACGTACTGGGTTGTGTTGAGGAGGTTCGCAAACTCCTGGGCCGAGTTGATGTGCTTGACGCCGTCCGACATTGCGATGATGTTTGTGTTCGGTCGAGGGAGAATCGATGGCGAAGTAGATTGCTGCAAATTTTCACGGTTAACCTGAACTGCCCGTAGGAGATAGCTCCGGCGATAAGGATTGTACACTACACACCTTGGCTACCAAGAAATCGCAAGTTGCGGCGAGAGTTGCTGGCAGGCGTCGGCTTTCAACTTTGTTAGGGCGTGTTCGGTAACTCAGTAAGGCCCAGTAAACAGGGTTTCCAGTAAATCGATATACGTGCCAGTACACTAACCGCTCGTAATCGGTCCAGTAAATCCAGCTTAGTCAGCGTCGTACTAGATAGAGCCCACTTTACAAGGGTATTTACAGAACCTATTCGAATCGCTGGGAATCTAAAAATTACTATATTTAAGTTTATTAATACTCTTAATTATCTCTATTATAACTAACTTCCATAGCCACCCCTATTTTATTTTATAAAGAATAAAACCTATTTATTTTTACACCTAAATGAGTAATAGCTAAGTTCGTCCTATAATAGAGGGAGAATCCTAAATTATAGGGTTTTAACTACTATTATAATTTAACTAATCCTAATCTAGTTAACTCCCCCTTCATTAATATACACTATTCCCCTATAGCTAACCTACCTTTTGTTAACCCCCTCCTTTCAACTAATTATAGTCTAAATTTAATAGTAGTAAGAAGAACCGTACTATTATTAAAAATTAATTATAGGACGGTAAATAGGAGGTTTATTTATTCACCCTTTTAAAAGAAGTAGCTAGTATTAGGGTAACTAATTAGAATAATTATAAAGATTAAATATATAATAATTTCGTAAAGGATATAGCCGAACATTTTAGTACTAAACTAAATAATAACTAAATCCGTAATAAAATTGACTAATTTCATTATAAATAATATACTTAGTTGATTTTAAAGAACTACTTTTAATTAAAGTTTGGGTTTAATTTAGATATTAGTATTATAACCGTATTTAATAAAGTATAGAACCTATTTATTGAAATTAATATATTATATTAATTGTTATATACCGGATAAGGATTTAGACTTTAAGTATTAACCATAATTAATAGAAGAATAAAGAAGTTAGATAATTTAAAAATAAATCCTTATTATATTGCAAATTTATAAAGGAGGCGTTTATAAATAATTAGGGTACTATTAGCTAATATATTAAGATATTAGGTGCGTTATTTCTTTTAAGGGAGATATTATCGGTTAGTCCGCTTAATTTTAATAATAATTAGAATAATAATAATAAGGTTTTCCCTATACCTATTAACGTTCGTAATAATAATCAAAGGAGGGTAGCCACTTTTAATCAAAATTTTAAAAAAAAGAAGAAGAAAATAAATAGTAAGATTATTATTAATGGGTTACGTATATTAATAAAAGTATTGTAAGAAACTTCGTACGAATTTGCCCCTCCTTTTTTATTGATGCGTAAGGATAAGTAGTTGGATAAAGTATTTAATTTCTTTTATAAAAAGTAGAAGGATAAAATTAATAATAAGGTCGTTAAGTTGGTATTTTATAAATAGGAGGAGTTTAATAGAAAGGTGCGCCGTTTCGTAAAGATATTTAATAAAAAGAAGGAGGTATATTTTCGATTATTGAAGAGGAGGATTGATGGCAATGGTAGTATTAGTAGGGGAAGTTTCTATTTAGAGACTAGCATCTATTTTGATTTTATCGATTTTGAATTATAGTGAGTTTAAGGGTATATTTACTAGTAGAATGTAGGCGGGAGGGAGCGGGAAGTAGGTTAGACCCTAGATTTCTATATTTTATTTTTTTAATATATTTTTTCTATATTGAAATAAAATTACTTAAAAAAATTATATATATATAAAAATTATATAGTTTTAATCGCTAAGTGAAGCCGAATCAATATTTTATATTTATATTAATTTTGAGGTAGGTTTATAGGAAATATAAGAATTATAAATATTTTCGAGATTTTTTAGTTCGGTAGGGAGGCGGGAATTAAAACTATATTAAGGCTGATTAATATAATAAATATTACTAGAAATTTTGAAATTAGATATTAGAATTGAGTTTTTGAAAAAGATAGATTTTTTATATATTCTAGCACTCTGGGGGGTGTCACGGCACTAGTAGTCGTAACCGAGGCACGGGCTGCCGGGCATAGTCGTGTATGCGGTAACCCGACCCACCGGGCCGGTGTATAGGGTACTGGGGCTCTAGGTCAAAACCCTAGACCCCGCGTACCTCTTTATACGTTTCTTTTCTTTTCTTTTTTATTTTATAATTCTACAATAGACCTAGAATTAACGTATTAGTTTGCCTCTCGTAACTACGTCGCTCGTAATAATTATAAAATTAATTTATATATTTTCTAGGGAGGAAATTAAATATCCTATTATATTCAACTTTCTAAATAATCGTATCGTATTACTAATAACTTCGGTTAAAAATAATAGTATATACCCCTAAAGAAAAGGTAGGCTAAGCCCCGCTAAAGAAGTAGGCAAATTAAAGCTCGCTAAAGAAGTAAGGATAGTAATTTACCTCGTAATTAATATCTAAAGTAATTACTATAGTAAATATTTAAATAAGTAAGGTTTAAAAGTAGGTTGTAAGGGTTTAGAAAGATAAAATTACTATAGAATAAGTTATTTTTAATATCGATAATATACTTATTACCTTAGAATCGGTAGTAGAGTAGGATAATACTTTTCATTATCGATTACTAAATATTATTACTATTAAGGATAAATAGGACGTTTAATTACATACCCTCGATATATCTAACCTCAATAATAAGGAGGCCCTAAATAATATTAATAAAACTATTATATTTTTTAATTAAGAAATTACCGTTAAAATAATTAATATATATTATACTTTTAAGAAAGAAGATTTATATACATTCCTATATATGAAGATTAACGTAATTATAAAGTATTATTCGAAAAAGGGTGAGGGTCCCGCTTTTACTTTTAAACCCTTTATTAAGGCTAGTAAGGATTATTAGTCTTATTATTTCAAACGCAATAAATCGTACATCGGCCCCTTCCTTATCAATTTTACTATTTTTAAAAATATTTATAAAGGCGATAAGGCCGGAATAGAAGTTATATTTTAAAAAATTAAATTGCGTACAATTTTGGCGGAGGCTGCCTTAATTTAATAGTAGAGCTACTAAATTATTATTATTAATTTAAATACTAATTTAAGTAAAATGTACGAATATACTTTAAGTTTCTTTAATTATTAGAAGGTAATTGAGGAGGAAATTTTTAAATTTAAAAATAAAATTACTATACTTAAGAATGCTATTGCCAATTACAACCTAATTACCCCTCCTTAGGGCGATATCGAAGAATTGGACCGATTATAATATAAGAATATAGCCCTACGTAAAAAGAATTAAGAATTCTAGGAGGAAGTTATATTCAGTATCGTTAAATTGAATACTACGATAAATAATTAAATCCGAATTGAGAATAAATATTTAAACGGGGTAAATAATAATAATATTCCTACAATTATTAATAAGAATTATAATGGTAATTCTCGTTCTAACTATCAAAATCCGCCCAATAATTAAAGTAACAATAGTAATTAAATCCCCGAACGAAGAACTCCTACCCCGCTAGAAGGCTATTATAATTACTTTAAATTATTAATCGAAATAAATAAAATTTAGGATAATCTATTTTAAATTTAGTATAAACTAAGTAAAATACAAAATACTTTAACTACCATTACTATTTAGGCTAAAAAATTAGGAACCGAAGTCGCTTTAAAGGAAAGTGAAATTATTAATTGAAATATAATAATCGCCCATTTTACTAAAGAGAATATAGATTTTCAGAAAGTTGAAAAGAAAATTACTATCGATCCTATCTTACAGAACGTAACCCCCTAGAATTTAGTTTAATACTAGTATAAATAAATTAAGGATTCGGATAATAATTTTAGGTACGATTGCGAAAATACTCCCGCTACAAATATTTTAATTGGTAATTCCGGCCGGCTTTTGGTAAAGGAGAAGGATCCTCCGTATTTCTATAATAAGAAGGATAAGAATATGGTCTCCTTCGATATTTAGTATTATTATATTTAGAATAAACTAAAGTTGAACGCCAATTATTTTACTAATAATAAGGCTAAGAAGATATATATTGAGAATTATATTGCGGGTAAGGCTGCTTAAAACTTGGAACCCTATTTTAGAAATAAACCCTACTATATTAGGATATCCTAAGAGTTATTAAATTATTTAAAGAATAAATATTATAATTATAACCGAAAGGAAAAGGTTATTTTCGAATTTAACGAACTATAATTCCGGATAAACTAAGATTTTTAGGAATTCTATAATACCTTCATCTATTTAATTAGTAAATATAATAGACCGGCCGATATTTGAAAATAAGAGTTCAATTAGAAGTTTCCTACGGATATTTAAAATACCCTACTATTTAACTATAATAAAAATATAATCGATTTCATCGCCTTCGTTTATATAGCTAAGAAAATAATAGGAAATAATTAATACTTATAAAAATCTAAATAGAAGGATAAAGGTAAGGATAAAGACGGTAAGGATAAAGGCTTATTATCTTCGTTTTCCTTAAATTTTTTTAATAAAGTTAAAGGTTTATTTTTTTCATTCGTAATTAAAGGCTTAAACGGAAATCACCATCCCTCCGAAATATTAAGGGACGAAGTTTATAAATTTTTGGAGGAAAATAAGTATTTTATTTATAAATAAACGGGTTATTATTTCCAGGATTATCCGAATAAATATAATAATTTTAATCGTATTAATGAATTTATTAAATAGTTCGCCCGTAAAGAAGCCGAAAAGGATACGACGGAAGGAAAATAATTATTTTAGGAATCGTAAATTCCTTCCTAAGGAATAAATTAATTAGTACTTATTCTAAGGATCTAAAAGAAGTGACTACTATAGAAGTAATAGAAATAAAAATGGAAAAGGATTTTCTAAAAGATTATTTTAGTAGAAAGGTATTATTAATTTACTATATTATAATATATAATAGTAAATTATTATTTATATTTAACACACTTATTAACTCGGGAGCAAATGGAAATATCTTTATAAGCCGAAAATTCGCTAATCGCCTT